TCCTTTCCTTTCCTTTCCTTTCCTTTCCTTTCCTTTCCTTTCCTTTCCTTTCCTTTCCTTTCCTTTCCTTTCCTTTCCTTTCCTTTCCTTTCCTTATAAATACTATGAGATGGAACAGAATTTCACAGCTGTGTAAAAGAAAAGACAACCCTGACTTCTCTCCGTAGTATTTCCATCCCATTCACTGACTGAGTTTAGAGAAGAACAGGCATGTGATCATTCAGTTGCAGATCATATTGTCAGGCATAAGCAGAACTGGGCTGACTTGCATGGGCAAGGCCTGGCCTGCTTTCCTTTGGCTGYGTGTTTTGCCACCTTGGTAACAACCTTGGGCTGTGTTGCAGCTTTAAAACAATGCAGGTAAGTAGGTCATCTGTGTGGACTCAGGGACATTAGAGAGATTTAATGAAGAATTTGGAACATTTAATCTCATTTCTTACTTTCTCCGGTTCATGGATGACCATTAGCTGCAGCAGTGGTGTTTCTGCGAGCACTCCAGTGCCATTGGCAGGGTAGGCAAACATCTTTTTCACTGGACACTGGCATAGATGTTTGCTGAAATCAGAAATGGTGAGACATGGTGAGAAGTCTGAATTCTCTGCGTTTTCTGGAGGGTGCATATTGGCTTTTTACCTCAATCTATTGACCTAATCATTCTTATACTGCTTCAACATCCCACATTCGTGTCAGAATCTTCCCCTTAGCTTARCTCAGTAAGGCTACCAAAAAAAGAGAGATGATCTGAATGGTTGTGTCAAGCAAAATTACAAAGGGTTTATATAAATGTATACATAAATATACATATATATACTTATATACATATATATGTGAAAAGGGTTTAGCAACCTCAGTGAATCAGTGTGCCTATTAGACCTTCTAAAATCCATTCTTTTTGCAAAGTATTGCTGTTCCCTGACAGATGAGTTACATCGTACACACAAGGGAAACAAGTGAGAAATTTGTCTTTGTATTGATATTAGAATTTGACTAAAATGGCATTCCATAGGTTGCATGTAAATTCCTTAAGTAGAAAGAGAAATGGAAATTAATGAAGTTGCTTCAAAAGTCGGATAATAATTACAGAGAATGGAATAATGTGACAGTTCTTCCTTTTGATCTGGTATCATGGATTCTCAGTCAGACTGCAGAGGAGTTCTTATGCAGTTTTGATGCATCTTGTGGCATTCAAATCTGTCAAAATTTCAGTTGTTCAGCTGTTAATTATGGAAAGGGGATTTGGAGTTTCTCAGATAAAGAAGCATTTTATGTGTGTGAATTTTTTTAATATATATCYTGTATCATAGAAGAGGATAATGGACCATAATTAAGGTAACTTATTTTAATATTATTTCACATGTAGAAGTTTCTACTCAGAAAATTATTGTTACAACTTTATGAAAGCCAAAACAAAAAAAATCACTATTCTTCTAGGGCTTATGTTCTAATCTTAAAAAACTTCTCAATGTATGCCTTTTTGGTGAACTCTCACAATGCAAAATATTCCTGTCACATGATGCTAAAGTAGCCCAGGTATCTATCCTGTCATCAGTCCCACTATTTGTGTCCTTACTTTATTTAACCTTTCCAAAGAGCTAAGAGTTATGAATGACCAAGGTGGTAGAGAATTTGTCTTCCCATTGTATGAATAACTAATTTCATGAGCAACTCTATCAGCTCATTCCACTATTTGCCTTACACCTTTTTTTTTTTTTTCTTTCCCCATGGAATTGCATCATCATGAATTGCTTATTTGTGGTAATAGCTATCAATAACTAAACCAGAAAAACTAAATTTGAGCTCTCCTAAGGCTTTCTGTTCCTTACAATCTGTTGCCAMTCTTAAGGATGTGGAGATGAGCCAAAATCCCCTTCGAGAGGACAGCAACCCAAAGCTCCTGGTAGCTTGTAAGACTGGATGCAGTTTGATGCTTTTTTGTTTCTGGTCTTCTTGGTTCAGCTGACTGAACCCCTATCACTTTCCCTATTTTATCATCATTTATTCCATGGAAAGGTTTCAGACAGTTTCCAGAAGATGAGTTGTTCTCTGCTATTWGCTTTTGGCAAAAAACTAATGGCAAATTTGGCTGGCAATGATTAAGGAGTTATTGCTTTACTCTAATGCCACTAGAAAAACTCAAAAAATATGGTGATTCTTCTAGATTCTGTTGTCCTTGTCTTTGGTGTTTTCACTGAAGAGGAAAAAGCCTCTCAAAGCAGGAGAATTGCAGAGTAGCTAGCCCTCTGCAGGAGTTTTTGCAAGCATATTTGCACATATTTGCAAATATGTTTAATAAAGTGTAACTTAGAGACTAATCTTTCAGTTGAGCAGTCTTCTGTTTTGTTATGTGCTTATATTTGAAGTAGTAGGCACCACTACTAGCACTACTGCTAGTTCTAAAACTACACAGATGCTTAAGAAGGGAACTCATGTCATTTATGGGAATGATTCAAGGGTATGTAATGAAGAGGATGGGATTAAAAAGTAAATAATGTATTATTACAGACTGCGAGGGGGAAAAAATAGGAGCAAGGCTTTAGGAAATAGTAGAACTCCCTTCTGATGGAAAAGTTGTGTATTTATCGTACGTTGCTTTGATGAAGTCAGCATTGGCAAAGGGAAAAGAGTAGTARATAGGCGTAGGTGAATCTGAATGTCTTTTCATAGGTGAATCTATGTCTTTTATATATCTCTGAAATGTTTCCAGCTGACACTCTAACTTCTACAGAATGGAAGGTCAACAGTGATATTTTTCTGCACCAAGTCCTTACTTTGAGGCAACTTCAAGAAAATAAATCATTCTTAATTACTTTTTTGACCTACGTATAAAAAGAATGAATCATACAGCTGTGAGACAATGCCAAGCAAACACTAGRATGGCTTTTCTTTAAACAGCATAACTATGTGACTGAACTTTATTAGTATTATGTGCAGAGTCTGCAGCTATTCCCTRTACTCAGTCTGCTGCAAGGTCTCTGACCACTAATCTTCCATACATCACTTTGTATGCTTTTCCTCTCGAGAAACTTTTTTCCCAGTTACTCTTTAAGACTGATTCTTTAATGTTCATTATTTTTTCATTTTGCTCTTTTCATTTGAAAATCTATAGGATTCATCTCTAATACACAAAATTGAGGCATTACAATCTTTGCAAACTAAGATGTACAATTATTTTAGCCGAGCAGATGGAGTTTGAGTCATTGGCATCTAATACTGTTGCAATCTGCAACAACTAGTGGAAGTTTTAAGAAACATGCGAAATTGTGGTTTCAAAAAAGACAAGATTACATTCTGCTAGGATTAAACCCTGTAATCTTAGCAGTGAGAGCAGTATAGAATCAGTATGGCATTGTTTGTTTACATTTGTATTTGTGGTCTAAACTGGCAGGCAAGAAGACTAGACTTCTCAAAAGTTCTGGCAAAGTTGAGCAAAAAAGATGATAGATATGACTAACAGATGTCTAGGCTTTGTGTATGCATGTGTGTTTCAGCAATTCATTTTGATGTTTCTACTGGAAATGTTTAATATTAAATCACTGGGATTCAAAAGGGATGTACTTTTTCAGTTACTGCTTTTGTTAAAGATGTAAAAAAAAAAAAAAAAAATCAGTGTGTGTGTCTAGAATTGTCATCCTGCTCTTGCATAGATGCACGAGAATGACCTTGAAGGTTCTTATAGGAAATAACATTAAAAATCTTTATTCAATAACTGTTGACAATAAACAAACAGGTTTATAGTGTAATTTTGTCTTTATAATTTAAACTAATTATTGTAAAATGTATCATTTAAGTGACTTTAACCACAAGGTAACTAGTGTACCAGCTATGAATCAATGCAGAATTGAATGCCAACCAAGTGAATTGTAAAGTATGTTTACTTGTATTTATTTTTCTGGATAGCTTTACTGCAGCATCTTGGTAACTATATTATCATATATATTGAGAAAAGATTAGATATGCAAGCAAGCTAAAATATTGTTTAGAGTCATGCCATCAGAGATGAACTTTCAAAGATCATTTTCCATCTCCTTCTTTCTTTTTTTTTAAAGAAGACTAAAATAATATATATATTATCCATTTACAAAAAAAAAAAATTATATAGAAAGGAACCTAAGGTCTAAGCATGTTTATAGGAGAACCACTTTTCAGGCCATTTATTTTAGTGCTTCTATTGCTTTTATTTATTTAGTGCTTCTATTGCATTCCTGATGTCCACTTTCTCCACCTCCTACATTATGCAATGAAACGAAAGAAGATAAAAGTTGAACTGAAAAGAGATTTAGTCACTTGTTTACCAATGCTTTCTTTAATAATTGGCAAATATATTTTCTCAGAAAGATGAAAGTAAAAGAGTTCATGCTCATATGAAGATTAAATAACCTCAACTCTTCCAGTCTTTTCCTTAGGGTTAATCTAGTGTAACTGAGAGAAGGAAGCAATCAGTAGCAAACAATGTAATTTAAAGATTGATTTGCGCAGCCCACACAGGTTTTGAGTTCGTTTTCAACATGTTGAATCGACTGAGGTCTCCACTGAAGAGATATTCTGAGATATCCTGTGATATCTATCTGAGATATCTTAGCCTCTTTCTGGTCTTGAAACAAAAGGCAAAACTTTTGTTTAGAAAGCAAACTCTACTGTGAAGAGAGTACAGCTTGAGAGGCTGAAGAGAAGAAAAAATGGAAAAGAAAATGAAAGTAAATTTTAAATTGAAAAGGAGCTTTGGAAAAAATAGAAGGAAAAGTAAATCAGCCTAGAGATTGTTTTCTTCAGCATGTTGGAAAAATCTGAGCTCAGTGCTTGGCTTCTATCTCTTGATTTTTATGTACTGGTTGGAGTTAGGTCATTTATATTTACCCCCTCTTGAGAATAGCGCATGTTGCTAATAGTCATTGCTCAGCTTGACTAGAAGGAAGACTCATGGAATCTTTATTAATTAAGTAATTCCAGTATAAGGAAAAAAAATCCTTGTGCTTTCTGAAATGACAGAAAGGTATAATGAAAGTGAGGAAAAGTTTTGGTGGCTTGGAGGGATTTAAAAGCCTGTTTTGAAGCTATTCCATAAGTTATCCTCACTATGTGCATATATATGTGTAATTGCCTAGATCATGCTCTTGTTTTGTTATGGCAAGATTTCTGAGTCTTTTGAGTGATAAACTTATTGTGTCTGATCCAGAGCTGACTAAATCAAACAAGCTGTGTTAAAATTACTAAACCTTGATAAAATTGTTGCATTTCAGTTTAMCTGTACTTTTGTGCAAAAAGGTTTTGAAAACATAATTGTTTAACCAGTTTGCATGAAAGTTATGCAAAACTGCATTAAATTATTTTAGGTAGAGTTCATGCTTTTTTTTTTTTTTCTGCTTCAAATCATGGCAGGATTACATACAGAGCTGATTTTGTAATTAGTTTAAAAAATCTTTGCAAACATATATAGTGAATGCAAATGTGATATTTTATGTGTTTTATTGTGAGTAATCTATATTTTATTTCTCATACTGCATTTACAGTATAAAGATATGGAATAACTGTACAATTAAGCTCATGATTTTAGAAAACCAAGGTATACTTTTGTTTTCTTTATCTTCAGTTCATCTACTTTGAGTTTAACATATCTTTTTGGAGAATAAAATGTTTGTAAAGGATATTAAGTTTGTTTGGCCTTCCTTTCCATTTAAAGTATTCACTGGATCCTAATGTGAATTTGTGATCCCCAACGCTGATTGTTCTGTAAACATAAGGCAGATGGTGTAGAGATGCTTCTGATAATTCATTTTTCAGCTAGTCATGAAGTACTTTGATTACAGTGTGTTTAAGTAATTATAACACAGTATTCAATGTTAGTCTTGTTGGTAAGGAACACATGGGAAACAAGTTGCACGTTCTTCACATGCAACAAAGGATGCACTGTGGTGTAACCATTTTAATTCCTAATGCTAGATTAGAAACATAGGACTTGAAAATATGTCATACAGTAAGGTAAATACATTAAACATAGTCTGAGTAAAAAGTTAAGTACATAGTTTTGGGCATAAATATTTGTTTTGGAAACTATTTGTCACCATATGAAAGAAGCCAGTATGCTGGAGTTCAGATTCCACTTTGCATGCAGCTCGTTAAAAAGTCACATGCTTGTTTTTAGCTTTACATGGGTCGTGGTTATAATGCAGTTTGCTTTATCTTTTATAAGCATTTTAAATCACAATACTGACAAAAATAAGCAATATTCATGAGATTATTTAGAAAACATATTTTGTATTTACATCAATTGTTCACAGCAATCTGTGATAGTAAGTGGTATTTAGAGAAAATGAGGATGGCAATTAGCTGACAGTAAAACACAATCACTTACATGAAACAAAAGAGTATGTTGAGGAAAATGATACCAAATCATACCAATCTTTCTAAAACTCTTGCAAACAGATGATAGGTTAAATTTAACAGTTTACTCCATAAGTGATGATCATTTTTTGTTGTTTTTGCAATAGGATAATTGACCGTCTAGATGGAGTTCGTTTGTTATGGTCATTGCTGAAAAATCCTAATCCGGATGTCCAAGCAAGTGCAGCTTGGGCTATTTGTCCTTGCATTGAAAATGCTAAGGTGAGAAAGTATTTAAAATAATATTTTTGTTGCTTGTATACTTGCATGTAATTATTACATTTGATTAATTTTCAACAATACTATCACATTTTCTACTTACCCTTTCTCTACTTTGTTCTTTTAACTGCTTCAAATATTGATGTATTTGTTTTTTTAACATAACAGGAGGCTTCAATCGATTGCTCATTAAAGCATTCTGTTTTGCCTTTACAGTGTTTATTTTATTTGGAAAAAAAAAATTTTTTTGTAACTTACCAGAACCAGAAAGACTGCTCCCGAATAAAACATATCAAAAACACTAATCTGATAATGAAGGAAACAGAACTCTTCTTATTGATAGGCTATGATCAGGGCAGGTAGTTGTAGAAATTCTCCCCTATGAGTACTTTAACTGTTCTCAGGAGACAATCTTCTGGGTTCAGAGTGTGTTTTAGATTCACTGCCAATGTAATCCTTAGATTCTCTACTCAGACTGCCAAAAAAGTGCCATTTTTGTGAATAGTGGTTGTGTGGGTCAGCTGTGTACAGAAGACTGAGCTATTCATTTATTTCACATCAGCTTCCAAAGAGATAAAATAGCAAGTATAACCAGTAACTCTTCTTCATGAATTGGTACCACTGACCTGTAGAAAATAAGTGGGGAGGGATTTGTTTCTCATTACAAGCTCTCTAAAATACTTCTCTAAAATACTAAGCATACTTTTAGCCTTAACACTTGTGCAGTATTATCTCCCATTCTAATTTGCATCCATAATTAATACAACATTTGTTTTTTCTCTCTACCACAAACACATATCCTTCCAGGTGTCATTTGAGAACTTGAACCTCTAGAAAGTTAGAGCACCTGAGAAACGCTAGATAACCTTAGCATCCTTGCAAGCCATATTTCCTGTTTGGGATTGAGCACTATATGGTTGCTATTAACTTATGTTGATGTAGACTGTATAGATAGATGTACATATTTATTATGGTATTGAAAGAGCATTTGCCTTTTATAAATTAAAAGCTTTTTTACTTTTCTGTTTCTTCCCTTCTTTCCTACCACAACAGCTTCCTCGCCATTTCTCAGACATGACAGTTATTCCAAATTCTTTTTCCATTTTTTTTATTCTGAAAATAGAACCTTATATAAAAGCCCTTTTATCTCTTGATGTGGTTCTTACATGTCTCTTCTAGCAAGATACAGCTACACCTGCCTCTCTCTAATGATATTTCTGTAGTTAAATGTTAGAGTGCCACCTTATCTCTCAGTAATGAGGCAATACTTATTATGCATGAGCAATAGCGCCAGGACAGAGATCCACTTTACCAGAATTCCCACTTAAAGACCCTTTTTCAGAAGTTTCTAGGGTAGGGGACAGCTAGTGAAATCATAGGCTACATGGATATTCTTCCTTGTTTTTTTCCCCCTTGGCTACTTAATGAGCTTAAGCTATGTACATCCTCAGTGTCTCTGTCCTCCTTTCATCTCTCCTGGCTGCCTGCCCAAATGCTAATCGGTGACCCCACAAAGAGGCCTTTGTATGAGACTGAGGCAGAGTGGCACACTGACACAAACCTACCAATACCCTTTCCTCCAGCACTGAATGAGAGAGAGGTGTATAAACAAACTATTCTAGACACACAGTGAATATGCAGGAACTATCTGTCTTAGCAAAATTTAGACCTTTTTTATTCACAGTTAAAAATATTTAACTATTTACATGATTTTTCAAGAAGCACAACTCAGTTCACTAGGTTTGAAGTCAGTGATGACAGTACAGTTTTAAAGGGATTATGTGCATTCTCTCTTTTCCAAGCCTGTATTTGAGACTACAAACCATGTTTCAAATAGCTTTGATATTGAATTCTGCATTTGTTTTTTGTTTTGTTTTGGAGAAGCTGCAGTGCAGAATTTGGCAAATGAAGCAGAACTTGTTACCAATATTAGAAGCAAATTTTTCTGGCAGTGTTGTACAGCAATCTTTTTCCCACACAAGCACTTTGTATACATAGACAGTAAAGGTTGTTTTCCGTGACATTTATGCTGGAGCTAATCTATGCTCCTGGCTCTTATGGTTATTGTATGTGAACATAGGAGCATCTCTCATGTACTCTCATTGTATCTTCTTAAGATGGGGAGTTCTGCCACTTCTGTTTTTACAATCAGAGATATATAAGCCACAAAATGCCAAGGCCTCAAATCTCTAATGTGAGTGTAGGTCACTTCTGAACTTCTGGTCTAACTAATTTGTCCATTTTCAGACAGGAAGTTAATAGCAAAGAGGGTAGAGATTCTAAGTGTCCTTAGTCCTAGGTTATGTATGACAGGGGTTATGTTATGGCAGCTGGAGTRTTTCCTATAGAATAGAATTGTAGAACTGGAGATGATTGTACTCCTTCGAGCATCAGCATGATTTAGGTTAGTGATATTTGGTTCATGACAGGTTTAAAACTTCTTAAATAGAGAAGGTAAGTTGCATAGTCTTGTGTATAGACTGTTTCAGCTCCRACACATTAAGTATCAGTTTGATGTCAGTCATCACTTCTGTTTACCAGTGTTCTAAGTAATTTTTAGCCTTAAGAYTCTTTGTAGAACAAAGATCTTGAGGTTGGTAATGATATAATTTAAGTGGTAGAAATGGCCTAGGAAAATTTGTTCAACACCTGTCACTGCTACTTGTCAGTCTTAGACAAATRTTGTGATCCTGGACAAATTAATTTATGTATCTCTCTAAAATATAAAACAAGAAAATAGAAAAGCATTAATTAGAAATATCTTAATAGAAACAGATTTGTACTAATTAATTTCTTATTTCCAAAAGGAAAAGTTACTACTACAGGCACATTGGTAAGAGAAAAGTACTAGTGCACTGTCAAAGCAACTGTCCAAGAAACACACATGATTGTGAAAAATTGCTCAGAAATGTCTCCTGAACTCTGTTGATGTTGGAACAGCAACATTTGGTTATGATGCTACTTTGAAAAGCATTATTTATAGTTATCCTGTACATCAGTCCAAACAAGAATTTAGAGAAACTCTACAAAGATGTTATTTGGACCATTATAAATCTCATCCAAAGGCATCATGCCAGTGACAGGGGTGCTGCCAACTTCAGTTTCTATTAAAATACCTACTTCCTCAGAGAGTAACCTTTAAATAGCATGGCTTGAAATTAGAAATATATGTATATATGTTATAGAGGTTATTCTCCTTTCTTGTGTTTAGTAGAATTTTGGAACAAGCATTTCAATAGGAATGGTAATGTCAGACCCACGTCTTTCCTGTGTCTTTTGTCTGTGCTTACATATCAGCTTTCGGATGTTTCAGTTTTAACCTTTGTTATTGCTACAACTGTAAAAGCTTTCCTAAAGAAATCAAGGAAGCTCATTATGTATGAAATCTGTCAAACTAACTTAAGTAAACAGTCTGGGATTGGGGACTTGAGGGAAGAAAGAGGGAAAGGCACTTACTCTATTTTCATATCGTCTGCTTGTAAAATGACATCTCATGCGTCTGTGATAAAGGAGGTTTGTATTTTTTCCAACTTTGTTGCATCCCTTTCAATCCTGGACTGGAATTTCATAGGCATGATGAATAAATAGTCAGCCGTGTAAAGATGCCTGTGTCTCTCCTATATATGAGGAAAGAGAATGTCCGTGTTGGCCCAAAAATAACAAAACCAAAACTAAAAGACGTTTAAGTGGTTTAAACTTTCTGTTTAAAAGTAACAGATAAAGGTTGTTGAACCTGGAAAATCTTCTGATATTTAACAAATAATAAAACCAGTTGTTTTAAATGAATTAAAATGCTTTGTTTACACATTTTAATAATAAAAAATAACAAATAATTATAACCAGTTGTTTTAAATGAATTAAAATGTTTTGTTTACACATTTTAATAATTAAAAATGTAGTATATAAAGATCAGTAGTTCCCACAATGCACACGGTTGCTTATTTATGCACACGATTGTTTTGATATTTTATAAATTATATTTAAATAGTACCAGTACATTTCTGTCTATGTACCATTCCTTGGTTAAGCCCATGATGTCAAAATCCCCTGCTTGAGTATGTACAGCACTTTCCACTTTCTTTGTTTTCCTTGCTATACTTCTTACATTCATATACAGAAACATTGGCAATTCAAACTTAATGCTCTTACTGCTCTTTCCATTTTCCTATTTGTTTTCTCTAAACGTTATCCTTTTTTCTAGCATCATTCATACTTGCTTCTCTGTGTTTCATATAGACATATGTCTATGTCTCATATCTGGATGCCCACTTTCTAAATTTTAAAACCTTTATTATAAACAGAACCTTGAAAAAATCTGCTCTAAGAGATCTTAAAGGAGTTTTTGGCTTGCCCTTCAGGAGTTCCAGAGCACCCTGCTCCCTGGGGAGTTAGGAAGCGCAAGCGGTCAGAGCTGGCTCAGGGAATTGGGAGCTGCGGGCCCTGTGTGCCAGCCTCTTTGAGCATTCTTGGCACAGGCGGCCTCAAAGCTCAGTGAATCAGCTGCCCTGGGGAGTTTGGGCTCCCGTAGACTTGTTCTCCTAGAGATCCTGAATGGACTGCCATAAATTGCTCCTGAAACCTACCATTGATGCCCAGTTTGCTTCCAAACACAGAGCCAGGAAGCTGGGAAGGAGATACTAGAGCACAGCCCACGTCTCCGTCATTGGGGGCCTCAGATCCTAAACACCATGCAAAGCAGCTGCCTGGGAGCTTGGGGAACATAAGAAGCCAAAAATCTTAGGACCTTCTGGGGACCTGGCCCTCCAGCTGTTTGGCAGCCCATCAAGCAAGAAATCAGGGAAAACCAGAAGCCAAGTAGCCTGGCAAGCTCCTAACCAGCCATCTGGCTGACAGGAGACGAAGAGGCACGTTGGCAATTTAATCTGTCTTTCTGCCTGGTTTCTGTCAAAACTTTTCGAGGAGTTGTCATGTTCTTATGGAAGGTTTTGGTTCTGTTCCATTAGCATTTTCTGATGGAATATTGTTCCACTGGAAAATATTTG